CTCAGCCCTGACTAAGTCCTGGGCACCAGTTTTAGACCCATTTATCAAGAGCTGGGGTTGGCAGACTGTCATCCGGCAGCCAAGTCTAGCTTGCAGTCTGTTTTTGTGCATCTCTGGAGCGTGGAAGGACTTTAAATTTTTAAAAGGTTGTGAAAAAGAGAGTGAGAAGAAAACAAGGGGGGTTATCAGACAGGGACATCCCACAAAGCCTTAAGTATTTCCACGACCGAGTGGCTGAACTGACTGACTGATTTACTATCTTGACCTTTAAAGGAAACGTTTGCCAGTTCCGATTCTAGATGTTGAGTCACGTGACGGGGGAAAGGCGACCTATAGAAGAACAGCAGCTGCACCATCTCCAGGATGGATGGGATGCCGGAGGCCTGGGATGGTGTGCCTTCCTGTTCTCAGAGGTGTCCTGCTCCCCTCCCCGGTAGAAAGCAGACTGCCTGCCACCTTCCGCCTGTCTTAGAAGATTCGGATTTCTCAGGTCATAAAATTATACCCTCTCTCTGTACATGTGTTAGTCGCTCAGTCGTGTCTGACTTTTTGCAACCCCATGGACTGCAGCCCACCAGGCTCTTCTATCCATGGATTTCTGCCGGCAAGAGTACTGGAATGGATTGCCAGTCCCTTCTCCATGGAATCTTCCTGACTCAGGGATTGAACTCAGGTCTCCTGCATTGTAGGCAGATTCTTTACTGTTTGAGCTATCAGGGAAGCCCTCTTTGTACACACACACACACACACACACACACACACACACTGTTGTGAATTAACTCAGAAAAGTGAAGAAGACAATGTAAATCATTATTCCAGTTGTGATACGTGGTTTAAACTAGAGAGGAGCTCTGACTCATCTTCGTCTCTCGGTCAAGCGCAGCTACAGCATCAATTAGGATTTAGATGATGTTCTCAGACCCGGGGAATGAATTGCTGAGTGCCAGGAAAATAATACTACAGTGTCTGTGCATGCACGGAGCTAGCTGGACAGCTTCTCAAATGGATTTCCTTTGTGTGGTCAACCATCTGAGCTCTGTAGAATTTCTCTCTTCTCAAAGTCATCTTGGAATCCCTGAGCCCTCAGATTCCGGCAGCATCTAATATTTTTTTTTAACCTCTCCATTGACATAAAGACCTAAGATGTTTATTCATACTTTCTATACACTGAAACTTGCTCTCAAAAATATGGAAAAACATGCTTGAGAATATTGATGCTCACTTTGTAATGACGGTGGGACATTTTCTTCCTCTGGGCTCTTTCCAAGGTTCACTTGAGCCTCTAACCTTGGCCTTGGAGTGTGGCAGGTGGTAGAGTGATGTACATAGACCACAGGAGACAAAGTCAGATTTTAACTAAATCAAGAGTGTGATTGAGGGACTTCCCTGGCAGTCCAGCGTTTAAGACTTTGCCTTCCAGTGTGGGGGGTGAGGGTTTGATCTCTCTTTTTGTGTGTGTGTGTGTGTAGCAAAGTTTTATTAAAGTATAATTGAGATAGGGAAAGCTTCTGACATAGACATTAGAAGAGGACAGAAAGAGTGCCCCCTTGCTAGTTTTTAGCAAGGTGTTTTAAGTCTGTTCAGTTCAGTTCAATTCAGTTCAGTCACTCAGTCGTGTTCAACTCTTTGCGACCCCATGGACTGCAGCATGCCAGGCCTCCCTGTTCATCACCAACTCCCAGAGTTTGCTCAAACTCATGTCCGTTGAGTCGGTGATGCCATCCAGCCATCTCATCCTCTGTTGTCCCCTTCTCCTCCTGCCTTCAGTCTTTCCCAGCATCAGGGTCTTTCTCAATGAGTCAGTTCTTCGCACCAGGTGGTCAAAGTATTGGAGTTTCAGCTTCAACATCAGTCCTTCCAATGAATATTCAGGAGGGTTTGATCTCTTGCCAGCAAGCTAAGATCCCACATGCCTCGCAGCCAAAAAACCAAAACATAAAACAGAAGCAATAATTTAAGAAATTCAATAAAGACTTTTAAAATGGCCCACATTTAAAAATAAGTGTTTTTTTTTTTTTTTAAAGAGTGCTATGAAAAGAAGGGGACATTTGAATGATGGTGGTTTGCCATCTTGAAGCAAAATCATAGTCTTAAATCAGAATGTTCTATCATCTTAGAAATAGATGTGAATGAAATGTGACATGTGAATGACAAAGATTGGGATAATACTGAATATTTTTTTCATATTTTTCTAAGTCTCACTGGGTGACTCTGGAGCACAGAACACCTGGTCTGTTCCAAGGGCTGTGTATGAATGAACTTGTTTAATTCCCACATCCCTTGAAGCAGATGTTGCTGTGATCCTCATTCAATAGGAGAGGATGCCAAGGCACAGAAAGCAAATGGCGTAGCTCTCATTAAAGCCTGATGTTTAATTTCCAGAGCCCATAGCCTTTCTTGACCAACCTCTCAGGTGCTCAGCATGCATGCGTGCCCGGTCGCTCAGTCGTGTCCAACCCTTTGAGACCCCATGAGCTCCTGTGTCCGTGGGATTCTTCAGGCAAGAATACTGGAGTGTGTTCCCACTTCTTCCTCCAGAGGATCTTCCCAACCCAGGAATCGAACCCCAGTCCTCTGCACTGGCAGGCGGATTCTTTATCACTGAGCCGCCTGGGGAGCCCTAGGCTCTCAGAACTCCTAGTTATGTTCTGGAAGAGTGATGCCCATCAATGGTCATAAATTAGAGTCACCTGGGAAATTTAGGAAAACTCGTGTGGCCTGGATCTCACTCAGACTTTCCTATTGGGGTTGCTGCTACATTTGGGGGCACCTCCTAACATGCAATGTGGACGGAGAATCACTCCTCCAAGGGGCTGTCTTAATGTTTAAGTACGTGCAACTGATACTTGGGATTTTACCTCATTGGCCAGGGTGTCGGTGGTTTAGTCGCTAAGTTCAGTTCAGTCACTCAGTCGTGTCTGAGACCCCGTGGACCACAGCACACCAGGCTTCCCTGTCCATCACCAACTCCCAGAGCTTGCTCAAACTCATGTCCATTGTGTCATTGATGCCATACTGATCACTTCAGCCTTTTCTTTCTAGCTGTACTAAATGAGCAGATGAAGGAGGCTGAAGGATCACCTACTATGAGTCAGTTCTTTGCATCAGGTGGCCAAAGTATTGGAGTTTCAGCTTCGGCATCAGTCACTAAGTAGGTCTTGGCAATTTTTAAAAGCTCTCATGATCTCACTCAGACTTTCCTATTGGGGTTGCTGCTACATTCGGGGGCACCTCCTAACATGCAATGTGGATGGAGAATCACTCCTCCAAGGGGCTGTCTTAAGGTTTAAGTACGTGCAATTGATACTCGGGATTTTACCTCATTGGTCAGGGTGGTGGTGGTTTAGTCGCTAAGTTCAGTTTAGTCACTCAGTCGTGTCTGAGACCCCGTGGACCGCAGCACACCAGGCTTCCCTGTCCATCACCAACTCCCAGAGCTTGCTCAAACTCATGTCCATCGTGTCATTGATGCCATCCAACCAGCTCATCTTCTGTCATCCCCCTCTCCCCACACCTTCAATCTTTCCCAGCATCAGGATCTTTTCCAATGAGTCAGTTCTTTGCATCAGGTGGCCAAAGTATTGGAGTTTCAGCTTCGGCATCAGTCACTAAGTAGGTCTTGGCAATTTTTAAAAGCTCTCACATTATTCTCATGTGTACCTATGGTTGAATACTAGGAACTCACTGTTCTTTGTAGGGCACTAGTAAATAGAAATGGTTCACTTCACATCCCATCTAAAATCCTTAAAGACCATTTAATTCGGCAGTTCTTAATATAAAGGAGTTTTCATGGTTTGCACCAATGTTTAAATCTGATTCAAACTAATGACCCTTTAAATATATATTTATATGTCTTTTTTTTTTTTTTAATTTTTTGACCAGGTCACATGGCACATGGGTTCTTAATTCCCTGACCAGGGATCGAACCTGCATCCCCTGCAGTGGAAGTGCAGGGTCTTAACCACTGGACTGCTAAGGAAGTCCCTAAAAATCTTTTTTAAAGGCAAATATTTTGCATTAAGAATAATTTATGTAATACTCGCTCATAGAAGTTAATTTAAAGAGCTAATACAATGGCCTAGATGTTCAATAAAGGAGAAATAAAAGAAAATAATTTGCAATAAAATAGTACAGCTTTTACTTTCAACATGTAAGTGTGTAGGCACCACCGTATAGAGGGGCATATTAAGGCTCTCACCCACACCCTCTTGCACGTGGCCACTGGGAACACACACGCCACGGGAGTGTCAGGACAACTGTCGTGCTATAAGCTGTGTTGCTGTGGGTGCTGTGATTTTTTGAAATGCTGAACTCTCGGTAAAATTTCAAAGACACAATGTACAATTTTCTCTTTGACTTACACGATGATTGCATTTTTGGAAAAGTCAGTGTCTACTAAGACTGTACAAAAGTACTTTCTAGTTGGATGTAAAAGCGGAGTTGGGTTCCAAGCTCAGAAAACTACAAACAGTTTCTCACCTACATAACTGTCTGGTGGGACATGGAACATTTGCACAGAATTGTCACCTACATAACTGTCTGGTGGGACATGGAACAGTTGCACAGAATTGTCTTCTGTGTTCCTGGCCTCCATCCGCTCAATGCAGGAACACCCAATCTTCATAATTCTCAGAAAAGAATTAGGCTCTCTAGTGGCTCAGACGGTAAAGAACCTGCTTGCAATGCAGGAGACCCGGGTTCGATTCCTGAGCCAGGAAGATCCCTTGGAGAAGGAAATGGTAACCCACTCCAGTATTCTTGCCTGGAGAATTCCATGGGCAGAGGAACCTGGCCGGCTACAGTCCGTGGGGTCTCAAAGAACCGGATTTGACTGAGCAACTAACTCTGACACACGTTTCCCAAATGCTCCCTAGGGGGCAGTAGCCCTCCACCAGTTAGATTTGATGACTTAGGAATGATTTTTCTCCAGGGTACATTCACAGGGGTAAGAGTTTTATCGGCAAACAAGTGGCTATGGTCCTATATGTGCGAGAAGGTAGTGGGCTAGGTGGTGGCCCAGATAAGGGAAGCCAGCCTTTGTCTGGAGTCGTGAGAGCTTGTCCCCACACAGGGGCACAGAAGGAGGAGATTTGAGAGGTTGCTCTGCCACTTTGGCAGTCGTTGATGTTGGTGACTCAGTTATAAGGACACACGCTGATATTTGACCTGAGTCTGCTAGAATCCAATAACTTAGAAGTGGATCTGCCAGAAAATACACAAAATGAATTTTTGGAAGCTCTGCTGGAAACTGTGATCCGCGAAGGTAAGCGAGCTCCGCTTTCCGATCTCTCCGTCAAGACTGACTTCCCTGGAGCCTGTGTGCATGGGGACACTCTGAGACTTTCACACTGAGCCAAACCTTCCCACTTCCTTTCATCGTCTTGCTAAACGAGAAAATCGCTGCTGCTGGGGATTAAATGCTTCCCCACTACTAGGAAATTGTGACAGTGACTTGAGTTCAAGTGAATCATGCAGGGTTGCAGGGGACTCACAAAGACTCAGAGACACACACTGAAGATGGATACCAAAATCACGTCGGTGGTAGGGAGAGAAGTACCTTGTTTCCCCCATTTTGAACAGTCTCTGTCTTAAAGCTGTAAATAATGTCTCCGTCGCTTTCCAAATCATTTTCTTCTAGGCAACCTTCATATGATAACACATACGTGCATGATGTATTTTCCATCAATGCCATTTGCATTTGGGGAGAGCTGATTCTCTCTTTTCTTTTTTTGGGCTGTGAATGGTCTTCATTGTTGTGCAGGCTTTACTCTAGTTGCGGTGTGTGGGCTTCTCACTGAGGTGGCCTCTGTCGTCATGGAGATGGGCTGTAAGGTGTGCAGGCTTCAATAGTTGTGGCCGGTGGGTTCAGTATTGTTGGTCCCGGGCTCTAGAGCACAGTTTCAATAGTTGTGGTGCCCGGGCTTAGCTGCTCCAGGGTATGTGGGATCTTTCCAGATCAGGGATGGAACCCATGTCTCCTGCAGTGGCAGGTGGATTCCTTACCGCTGAGCCACTCTGGAAGCCCAGGAGAGTTGATTCTTAACCCACTTTGCTCTCACACATTCCTGTGAGAGGTTGGTGGCATGGCACCCATTCTGGGAAAGAGATCACAGTTCGTTTCTTGCTGGTTCTTTAGGTGAATCTCCTGGCAGAGCCAAGCTTGCCCCTCTGGACTCGGAAGTTCTTGTGCAGACGTTGGGCTGCCTTATGTGGCTCCAAAGGAAGGATTCTTAGGAAGTCCTGAGCTGGGTGATGGCAATATTCTATACTGCTCTTCACTCATGATTCAGAGCCAGAATTAGAGAAGATACATTATGATGATGTCTACCATGTCAGAGCTACCAGTATTTAATGAATGTGGTGGTGGTGGTCTTTTAGTCCCTAAGTTGGGTCTGACTCTTTGAGACCCCATGGACTGTAGCCCACCAGGCTCCTCTGTCCATAGGATTCTCCAGGCAAGAATACTGGAGTGGGGTGCCATTTCCTTCTCCAGGGGATCTTCCCCTCCCAGGAGTCAAACCCAGGTCTCCTGCACTCAGGCAAGTCTCCTGCATTGCAGGCAGATTCTTTACCAACTGAGCCACCAGGGAAACCTGTTGTAGATGTTGGGTCGGCCAAAAAGTTCGTTTGGGTTTTTCCGTAGATAGTATGGAAGAACCCGAATGAACTTTTTGGCCAACCTGATATACCATGTTATGACACATTTTGCATTCCACACTGTGAAATTAAGTTTGATTGTCACCCATTTAGGTTTTAACATGTTGTCCTGTGTCAAAAATCAATGGTTCTCAGTAATCTGGGGAGAAACATTCCTTTGAGAATCTTATGAAAGCTCACCAATAAGAAAGCACATCTTCATATATCCACAAGAGTTTGCCAACAATTTTAGGGGCTTCTCAGACCACAGAATCCCACACAAGGATCTCTTGGGGGTCCGTGGACCTTGTATTTGAAATCCTAGAACACCTACTTGTTGAGAGAGGTTTTATTTTAGGAGGATTCTTGATTTTGATAACAATTGCCAGGTTTTTATTTGATTTTAAGCTAACATATATGACAAATTGTTCATTGAAAGAGAGCAGATATCATGGAAAAAATAAATCTGCTCCAAAATTATGTATAATCTGTGTTTGTTCTCTGCAAACTCTTGGTGAGGAAAGAGGGAAATAGTTGAGAGAGGTGTTTATGACGCTGGGCATTTGTAATGAGTTGTGGTTTGAACAACCCCAGAGCAGCTCACTCGGTCTCATTGCCTGGAATGATTTCTTCCAGTGTCTGGCCACTTGGAAAAGAGAGACAGGATGGGACTTAGATTTGAACTACTAAACAAGACGGGTTGGGGACTTGGCTTCCAGTGGCTTCCGTGTTGGTAGATGGTTGGTCTTGGGAGGGTAGGAAAGGAGAATGTATGTAATTGACTCACAGCTCAAAGTGAGATTTCTCTTAGGTTGGAGGTTCATCTGAAGCTTACTCCCTGGAAGGATGGTGCTTGGTCATCATTTATGCCTTTTGTCCAATTGCTTTAACCAGATCTGGAGCGGGTATCAGCCTCACAGAGGGAGAGTGTTGTTTGGGCTGAGCTGGAGAACTTCAAGGCCAGTTCTGAAAGTCTGGGCACTTCGGGGAAAGAAAACCTGCAAGTGATCTTGGCTAAGGTCACTTCATTTCTCAAGCTGTCAGTTTTCTCAATGTAAAAATAACTGAAGCAAGACTTAATCATCTCCTTGGTTTACCCATTTGGTGATTTCATTCAGTTCAACAAATATTTATGAAGAGCTATTTGCCAGGAATGTTCTAGGCACTTGGAAGGATCAGCAAACAAAACCAGCAGAATTCACTGTCCCCCTGGAGGGCATGGGGAGGGGGCTCGGGAGGGGGGTTGGCGCTGTCATTGTCGGTAAGGTGGTGGTTGAGTTGCAGAGACGGGCCAAAGATTTCCAGGCAGACGGAAGAGCCAGGCAGGGGCCCTGAGACTGGCCTGACTGGGTGGAGAGGCGATGGGCAGAGTGCCCAGGGCTGTGGAAGCAGGTGGGGAGGGGGAGCAGGGTCAGGGACAAAACAGCAGGTGGGCAGAGCTCCATGCACGCCCAGACTGGCAATGGAACTTGGGCTGGGTCTTGAGCCCCGTCCATGAAGGATCCCCTGAGCACTGAAGAGCCTGCAAAATGTGTAGGTTAGGGGGTGCCCTGAAGAGCCCCACATTAATTCATCTATAAAGGAAAGACAAAGTCATCTTTCTCTAGGTCACGATTGCTTTTAGCTCAATATGATTATGATGACTCTGATGCCCACTAGTAAAACTTCTGAGGCCCCAGAACTTTGCTCTCTTTCCATGAAATCCCCTACAAGGGGCTCCTGGGTGTCTCACATGTGCTACAGATAACCGTGTCAGTCCTTCTCAGTCACCACGGCATGCTATTGCTTTGCTGTTCCCAAGTTCGTCAGTGTCACTGAGAGCTTGGCATCGAGCACAGGGCGTTCTGGACTCGTTGCTCAGGGTTCTTGGCCCAGGTCAGCTGTCTGTCCTGACAGCTGAGGACCCTGTCCTGAGGCTCTGACCCTCTTCCAGACCCTCTGCTGGGACCCTCCGGGCAGAAGCCCCCTGAGTAGAGAGTACAGAGCGTGATCACTGAAGTCAGAAAAACAAACAAACCACATTGGATCAGTTTCACTATTTGAACTTTACAAGGAATTGGCTGTATAACTTGGGCTACTTCCCCAAACCTTCTCCATGGGTAAAATGGGACTCATGAGGGCGTCTTGTCCTCATGGCACTTTTGTAAGGAGTAACTGACACAGTACATACAAAGTCCTTATCACACTCTGGCACATAATATATGCTCAGTAAACTTATTTCTTAAATCTGAACTCTCTGGAACAGTACTGATTTAAAATATTTTCACGTAACTTCAGAAACAGGTGATAAGTATAAGTTGGTGCAATGTTTCCATGAAAAAAAGTTGGTGATATGCATGAAGAGATTCAAAGTAATTTTATCCTATTATGCAGTAATTTTGTTTCTTGGCTATGTGGTGGAAATTTTCAGAAGTGTGAACAAAGATATAAGAATGTTTATCAAAGTCTAATTATGGCATATACAAAGATAGAATAGCATGCAGCCATTAAAAATAAAGTTTACAGACAATCTTCAATGATATGAGAAAAAAATCCTTGTGACATAGATTTAAATGGAAAGGTCAGGAATTAAAGTTATATATTTAGTGTACTACCTAACTTGATAAATTTATCTTCTGTTATAGATAAAAACTGAGCAGGAATATGGATTAAAATGTTAATAGTAGTTCTTTCTGGGTGGTGGGATTACAGATGTTTTTAGTTGCTTCTTTGACTTTTCTTTAGTTTCTAAAATAAAAATGGGTTACTTTTTTAAGCAGGAAAAAAAAGCAATGCATTTTATTTCTAATTTTATTTTTAAATCGTGTGGTGAGTGCATGCATACTTATCAGACCATGTGTTTGGAATTTTATTTGGAAAGTATGGTTACAGTAAATATAGGTCAACTACTTTCCAAGATTTCTTAATTGGAAACTAAAAAAAAAAACTTGAAAATAAATTATTTCCTGGACTAGTCTGGATGAGAAGAGAAAATAAAATTTTAAAGGAGATGGAATAATGCCTTCAGCATCCTCATGTACAAATAACTCTCCCCTTTTGGCCTTTGGGACAGTGTTGGGGTGGGGTTTCTTCTGTTTCTTTCTGAGAAACAGCTCTGAGGCCTAGAAGTGCATCTGGGCCAAGGGACAGACTTAGCTGGAGAGAAAAACAGCTGTCCTCGCCTTTATCACTGTATGTCAGTGTGACAACAGGAAATGTGAGAGGGAATGACTTTTATCAGGGACTGAGAGCCCTTGGTGTGCATGACTAAAACAGGCAACTGTATTTCCAATAGCATCCTTTGTTTTAGAGGATCTCTAATAGAAGAGCTTGTAATATGTAAAAGGGGAATCATGAAATGGTGGGGTACAGGGCTTCTCAAGCCTTAACGACTGTAGGAGGAACCCGGGGCCCTGGGAACTAGGCAGACTTTCCTTCAGAGGGGGCGGGTGAGGCCCCAGATCCTGCATTCTGTCCAACTCCCAGGTGATGTGAGTACTGCTGGCCGAGAACCCCATTTTATCCTGTATGAAGGTACGCATATGTGTGCGCGTGCATACTCAGTTGTTTAGTTGTGTGACTCTTTGCAATCCTTTGAACCTTGACCTGCCAGGCTCTTCTGTCCATGGGGTTTTCCAGGCAAGAATC